TGCATGCTTTATTTTTTTTCATGGACTTGAAAATTTTAAATCGGTTGTCGAGTTGAGTTGCTTTAAAGATTATTAAATTATAAATATAGTATTAGCATTGTTGGGCTTTTTCCAGTTCTTGGGCTTAGGCCTCATATGCAATGTTTAAAAGAAAAACCCGATTTTGCCTAAACATATCACCCAAATCATATTTTAATACTATTCGTCTAAGACCCAAACCCAAAACCTAAAACCAGATCATTGTCTAAGAAATACTTAACCAAAAGTCGCAGACATAATGAAACTGTGCGTCTCAGTACAAGTAGCAGTATACTGAACAAGCAACGACGACGTTTTTGAAGAATAAAAAAGGGTTTTCTTCTTGTCTCTGTAAAAATTGACTCGTACAATGACTTGTAATAATTTCCGGTTTGACTTATTTTTCTGTTGTACCTTGGCAGGAACAAACATTGCAAACTGATTGGTTATCAGCAAGTTAAAATAACTCCATCGACAACGACAACAGTACCTTCTTCCGCAACTCAGAATTGTGTGGACCAAGACCAACCTTTGTTACTGAATCATGGTTCCCAATATGAAAGCTCAAACTCAAGAGCAGGTTTGATAAAAAAGAGGAAGGATCTTCTTGATCCTCCACTGAAACTACAACATGCAAAAAGGCACATGGGATCATCCTGTGGAACTGATGTCCAGTGCATCAGTGAACAGGTTTACTTCTATATTCTCAAATTTGGTTTCAAAACATATCTCTGCTGCTCTCTCACTCTGTTTGGCTTCACTAGGTTAATGTTGGATGCTTATTATACATTCCTTGATGCATTTTTTTGGCAGCCTGAAAATAGCGTTGAGGGCATGATGCAAGTTTCACAGAAGATGCTTCTGATGCAAGAAAACAAAAGGCTTCGGTCACAGTAAGTACAAAAGCAATATGGTTGCTCGCCATTTGCGTAATTATCCACACATTATAATTGTTTTGGAATTTCTCATTTGTCCTTTCGCTTGCAGGCTGCTCACATTGGAGAAAATGGTGCAAGAACTTGATTTGAAGGTAGGTCTGCGAGCAACTCTGTGTGTGTGTGGAGAAAATAAACATCAGGTTTTTACCTGATTTTGTAGTTAATATAGTTAGCCTTTTAATCAACATGATATTACAATTGGTGCAGGTGCAACAACTTATGGATGAACAAGAGAATGTACTTCTATCTCTCTCTCTCTCTCTCTCTCTCTCTCAAAACAAACCCACAAAAAAAAAAACGAGACTGATGTCAGATTTTTACCTGATTTGGTAGTTGACATAATTGGTGCAGGTGGAACAACATGCAGGTGAACTAGAGAATGAACTGACACAGGTGACACAGACGTTGTTTGAATCACGCGAATGGAATATATACGAGCAGCACGTTTGCTAGACAAAGGAGGATAAAACATTTCATTCTTTTGTATTAAAATCTTTTGCCCATACTCCATAGGTAACTGGAAACTACATTAACCTTAACCTTTTTAGGGGGGTAGATTACATAGTACGTCATACCATGAACACAAGAAGATGGCAAGTAGACTTGTATAGTTGCAGAATCTGTCCCTTATTGAAAATTTTCCGTTTATATTGATCGGCATTCATCAGCATGGTAGTGGTAGATTCTCTTCTTTCTCATCGTATGCAAGAGAGACAAAAATACTTAAAAAGGCATGTCTATTTCCGGTTGATACGAAAAATGTATAATGACATGTTAACTTCTAGATGGCTAGCATTTCAAAATGTAAAAGTTCTAAAAGATCATAAATCTCAGCTAACTGACAGTGAGATGCGTCTTCTGAATAAAAACAGTGGACTTCATTTTTCACCTCTACCCAACTACAGCCACCACTCTTCTTCAATCCCCTGTCCTTCATTAATCTCCTAATATTCAGAACATCAACCCATCTTCCAGCTGAAGCATAAATATTTGACAACATTACATACCCTGCAGAGTTTTTTTCTACTAATTCCCAAAGCTTCTTAGCTGTCCTTTCTGCTATCTCCTCATTTTTATGTTTACTACACCCACTCAATAGAGCTGACCATGCATTGGTTTCAGGTTCGAATGGCATGGACTTTAAAAGCTCTTCAGCTTCTACAAGGCGCCCTGATCGGGACAGTATATCCACCATGCAGGTGTAGTGTCTTCCCTTTGGCTTTGTACCATAAACAGCCTCCATTGAATTAAAGCACTGCAATCCATCATCAACTAAGCCAGTGTGAGAACAAGCGAAAAGAACTGATAAAAGCATGAGCTCATTAGGAGCAACAATTGAAGTTCTATTCATTTCCTCAAACAAAAGCAGAGATTCCTCAGCAAAACCATTTTCTGCTAAACCCTGAATCATCACAGTCCAACTGACTTCATTCTTCTCAGGCATCCGATCGAATACCTTCTTGGAGCTCTCAATATCCCCGGATTTCGCATACATATCAACGAGGGCTGTACCGACAAAAACATCATACTGGGTTCCATGTTTAATTGCTTTTCCGTGGAGGTTCTTTCCTTTCTCTAACGAGGCTATGCTCGCACAACCACAGAGCACACTTGAGAAGGTGGATGTGTTTGGAGTTTCTCCACACAAAAGCATCTCATTAAATACTTCAAATACCTTATCAAATTCTTTGTTCTCTAAGTAACCTCCGACCATAGTATTCCACGACACATTGTTCGGTGCAGGTATGCCATCAAACAACACCTTAGCTTCTTCCATTTGTCCATTCAGACAATACCCACCAACCATAGAATTCCATGAGACCACACTCTTCTCCAACATTGAGTCAAATGCCAAGCGGCCATCCTTAGTTTTTCCACATTTACAGTACAAGTCGACAAGAGAACTACTGATGAAGACATCTTTCTCATATCCAATTTTTACAACATGTGCATGGATGTTCATTCCCACTCGCAAATCCTCGAGGGTAGCCAGTGCACTAAGAATGATAGCTAAACAGGACCTATTTGGGACGAACCCATTGCTTGACATCTGAAGAAAGAGCTTCAATGCTTCTTCAGGATGTCCACTCTGACTGTACCTCGCAATCATTGCACTCCAAGAAACTTCATTTCTTTCTGGCATCTCATCAAAGATTCGACGCGCTTCTCTCAAGTCCCCCATCCCAACATACATATCTAGGATTGCAGTCCAAGAGACAACATCTTTCTTTTCCATTTGATCAAATATTCTCCTGGCCAAAGCCTTTTCGCCCATCTTCAAACACAAAGTAATTAAGGAATTAGAAACTGATATATTGTGTTCAAAGCCAGTCTTAACAATCAACCCCAAAACACTCATCCCCAAACCAATTTCACCAAACCCTGCACAAGCTCTCAAAACAGAAGTAAATGTAACATCATTAGGCCTGACCCCAGAATCAAGCAGCTTCAGAAAAAGCTTCAGGGCTTCAGCACTCAACCCATTCTGCACCAACCCATTAATGGCCGCCGTCCAAGAAACCACATTATGAAATGGATTTCTCTCAAAGTACCACATTGACTCATCCACTCTTCCATACCTCATCAAACCCGATATTAAGGCAGTCCAAGAAACCTCGTTTCTCTCAGGCATTTCGTCAAACAAGCGGCGAGCTTGATCAAGATTTCCCCACTGAATGTTGGCATTAATCAAGCAATTATGCACAGTAGGATCAAACCCATCAAACCCCTTAACGATCTCACTCACTTGAGCAGATTTTCTAGAATCCAGGTACATAATTAGAAGCCTAATGGCTATAAATCTCTCTGATGAAAGACCCATCTTGATCAAATGGTTATGAAGGACCATTCCCTCATTGATGAGCCTATCTTCCGTGAGGTTCTTCAAGAGAGACCCACATTTTTGTACGTAAGTTTTGAAATCTTTGCTTGGGCTAGTGGCGAAGAGGGTTTTGAATTTGATGGCACTTCGTCTCATGCTGCGCGCGCGAGCTAGTTAAATTAGCTGCCTACGTACATATACATAATACATCATACATCATACAGATACAGTCAAAGAAGAAAACACAAGAGAAGCCTCAGTCAGACCATGCTTGACGTGGTTGGGTTGGTATTACGACACGTGGCATTCAAGGCTCAATGATTTTGAGGGTTATGTGTGGTCTTCTCAGTTAATTCTGTCGTCGTTATATGGATGTGAGGCCAATTCTACTTTATTGATGAATTCCAAATCACGGGTCTCAAACAATACAAATTGCCTCCTCCAATTCGATTCTTGTTGTCGGTATTGTCGACACGAATATCATTTGAATGGATTTATTCGTTAATCGTCTTTTCTTTCACTTTGGAAAATCTGTTAAGAAAGTCATTAATTTTCTAATCAAGGCATCAAGAAATATATCATATAGAAATTTTCTAGTCTGTTACCTTTCATATGCGCGCTACCAAGAAATATAGAAACTATTGTCCCTTTTGTTTTTTTTAAATCTCTATGAAAAACGATATATCACAACAGTCGCAACCTTCCCGGGTAAAAACAAGAGCATGCATGATGCAGTTTCAATATTTCCATAGAGCCGTCCTCAATAAAATCAGGATCGAGGCTGATCAAACCAACGCAATATATATCACCAGCCAGTTGAGGGGATAACAATATAGAGAGGTTAGCAGAGCAGAGAAAATCCGAACCTAATTAAGATACTCAATTCAATGCAAATTTGGCACCATCTAATCTGTCAATGCATATCTAGCTGCCTTGGTTTGGGTTACGTTACGAGTTTAAAACCATCCCCAGTTGAGACCTGAGCTGAAATTGTAGCATCTTGATTCAACCGATGGAAAAAGATACAAGCCTCTCGCATAATTTGGGTGGGTAAGATGAAATTGTAACCCTCATGTTGACAACAACACACCAAGAATATATGGCTATCAGACAAACGACCTTATTATTATAGTGATTTTGAAAGTGTGAGTGGGCCATTGCTTCTTTTGTCATTATCATCAGATTCCACCAACCACAACAAATTGAAGACTTGTTAATCAAATTGAAAAGTTAATGGTATATATGATGCCACACATTCCTACACACACAAATCTTCAACTTTAAAAGCACCAATATATGTTACCAAAATGAACAACATCACACACAGAAAGAACAGCTACCATGAGTAAAAGCACTTTTGCGTGCTGAAGCTGGCTCCTTCTCTTTCCTTATTCTTTACACATCGCTACTCCGAAAAGCAGAAATATTCTGAGAATCAAATTCACCAAGCCAATTAATTAACCGCCACCATGGAAGCTGAAGCTAATCCTGAACAAGCAGATCATCTGTTTTCATTACCAGTAGATGCTGATCAAAAGGCCACAGAGTTTAGGCTATTTTCAATTGCGCCACCGCACATGCTCGCCTTCCACCTTGCATGGCTCTCTCTCTTCTCCAACTTCTTTTCCACCTTCTCCATCCCTCCCCTCCTCGCCGTCATCCGCGACGACCTCAATCTCACGGACACGGACACCGGCAGAGCCGGCACGGCCGCCTTCCTCGGCTCCATCTTCTCCCGCATTGCCATGGGCCCCATCTGCGACCTCGTGGGCCCGCGCATCGCCATCGCCACCGTCTCCCTCATCACCGCTCCCGTCATCCTCTCCACCTCCCTCATCTCCTCCCCGCACTCCTTCATTGCCCTCCGCTTCCTCACCGGCTTTTCGCTCGCCAACTTCGTCGCCAACCAGTTTTGGATGAGCTGCATGTTCTCCGGCTGCGTCGTCGGCCTCGCCAACGGCTTCTCTGCCGGCTGGGCCAACATGGGATCCGGCGTCACCCAGTTGGTCATGCCCCTCATTTATACTCTCATCATGTCCTTCAACGTACCGTCCTTCACAGCTTGGAGGCTTGCATTTATTGTGCCCGCAGTTTTCCAAGCTGTCACAGCCTTATTGGTCCTGGCTTTCGGGCAAGACGTACCTTCTGGGAGCTACAGAAGCTCGAAGAAGGTTAATATTGGCAGTAAGTCCGAAGACAAAGAGAGCTTGTGCAATGTTTTCTGTCACGGGGCCAAGAATTACAGAGCTTGGATTTTGGCTTTGACTTATGGGTTCTGTTTTGGGGTGGAGATGACGACTGATAATATTATAGCTCAGTATTTCTACGACAGGTTTGATGTGAATATTCAAGTGGCGGGGATCATAGCGGGGAGCTTTGGGTTGGCGAATTTCTTTTCGAGGCCGAGCGGAGGGTTGGTTTCTGATAGGATGGGGAGAAGGTTTGGGATGAGAGGGAGGCTGTGGGGGTTGTGGGTGACGCAGACAGTGGCTGGGTTGTTGTGCTTGTTACTCGGGCGAGTCAACTCGCTCTGGGGATCCATACTTGTCATGTGTGCCTTCTCTGTCTTTGTTCAAGCAGCCGCGGGCCTCACGTTTGGTGTGGTTCCCTTTGTGTCCAAAAGGTAAGTAACAATGCAATGACACTCTCCACATGTCATCAAGTAGAAACTTATCACAGTTGATGACTCATTGCTCTCTCTCTCTCTGTGTTGGGTCCCACTTCTACTGCTTGAATTGAATCTTTTAAGACATGAAGATGATGGAGGATCATTCCTCCCACGTTCTTGGCTTTCAATCTTCCGGAAAATAAGACAATATTGGAGTGACTAACTAGCTAAGCTAGACAGATCTCAAGTTCCATGCGTGTGTGAACGGGTGGGTGACTGTGAGCCGTTGATTGAACGAAAGATGATCATTCGTCAAAGGCCACCGTCGCCCACGTTCGCGTGATATGCTAACACTGCTCATTTGTTTAATTACTGCAAAAAGGCTTTGCACTAATCATTTACATTAATGTTAATGCAGGTCACTAGGTGTGGTATCTGGGATTACAGGCAGTGGAGGGACTGTAGGGGCGGTGATAACCCAGCTGTTACTGTTCTCAGGCCCTAAGTTCTCCAAGCAGACAGGCATTTCTCTGATGGGTATCATGATGATTGTGTGCACTCTCCCAGTCTCCCTTATCTACTTTCCTCAGTGGGGTGGAATGTTCTGTGGCCCTTCCTATGGCTCTGATGATCGTCTCAATGGACCAGAAACTGATGAAACAAACCATTATCGCTTGCTCAAATAAAGAATTTATCTAACACGGCCTTCATTTCATTTGAGCCTCAAGTTTCATATGAAGCAAGTACAAGTTGATCCAATTATGTAAAGTGGTCACGTACAGTTACTGTAAAGAGCAAGCTTGTGAATGTTCATATGAATTAGCCTTTCTGAAGAAAATTATTGGTAGTTAGGTTGTTTTTAAAAAATGCTAAATAAAGTCTGCATTTGATAGCTAAACTGAATATGTATGATTGCTTGTGGTCAAGGGACCTTCCATTTTCCATCACAGTGCCACAAGAACATGCAAGTTCGATCAACTGAGTACTGAAGCTCGATAAAACGACACTGAACTTACTATGTTTTCTTGCCATTCAATGATATGCTTTAGAGCTCCTTATGAGAATGCAGCAGCCGATGCTTGATTGCATCCAAAGTTGGCAAAGGCCACCAACCACCAAGAATCCCAACCAAAGTGAACTTCTGGTCTCTTACTTCAACTCTAGCCAGACACAAAAGCTGAAAGTCTTCAACTTCAACCTTACTTGCGTACAATGACTGAAGAAAAGGAAACACAAGCTTTTAGAAGTGTGTTATCCTTAAATGTTTTAGTTTTTAAAAGTAGCAGCCACTAAAATTTTATAATGATAACAGGACACTTGCCTTGTTATACAAGTGAGGTTCTTGGCGCTTAAGTCGATGACACAACTGCAAAACATTAAGTTTGAAATAAAGGTTTACCGACAAGAACTACTATTACCATCAACACTATAGCTTTAATCAATCTATGGTTAAATTATAATGCAACGGTCACCGGAAACAATGTGTAGTAGTCATTACCACTTCTGAGAATTCAAGTCAGAACAATCAGAGACTTGTTTGTTCCTACCATACTACAACCCACCCAATATGAAATGAAAGCAGCTCCTCAAATTACGTGTTCAGTAAAAAAAGGAATCTGCATTTCTTCAGATTGCAGAAACCGAGACATGGTTACCTTCCAATAGGGTAAAAGGTAGAAAGTCACTGATTAAATTAGGTGTCAAGAAATTAGTAAATGTATACAAGTACCAGGGGATGCTTCCTTACCTCATCCACGAAACCATAAACTGAGAAAGGACTAGGCTTGGTGCTCAGGAGGAAAAGAATTAGCTTCAATACAAATGGTGCAAGTGTAACAGAATCATCCCAGTATGCCAACATAGTGACGAAGAAAAAGAAAGGCAACCAAATTTTCCTCACAAACATCCAGACGGCATGTTGATCTTCCTCCACATCTGAATCACCAGACACTTCCAGATTAAGATCATTCACCAAAATATCATGGCCTACATTATTAAAATTCAAATAAAAGGGAGTTAATAAGAGGTACGCGTCTACAGAATATAAGACTTCAAAATGGGCACGAGAGTTTAGAACATATAATAAATCGGGTGCTTGCTCACCATCCATGGCATATGCAGCATTTGGCAAGAAGCTGATTGACCCAAGTAAAACTGACACACCAAGAATGCTTCCAAATCTTAATATACTTCCTCCTGAAAGGAATGTCAAAATTATGTGTATCCATTAAACATTATGCTGGCTGCAGAGAAAACCCAGTTTTTGTTTAGGGTTCATTAGTGAATGGCATCAACATGTTCAAGATCTAACTTTTAACAACCAAAACCACCAGCAATTGACATCATAAAGTCTAATTGAATATTAGCGCCACAATATGATGATCAACGACAACAATCATACAATTTCCAAATCCAATTTAAAGTATAAAGTTTACTTTAACATTGTCAAGCGGTAGAAGCAAAATCGAATAGGCGACTTGCCTGAAAACCAGAATTTCTGAAGAGAATTTCTTTGTATATTCAATGAACAATAATATGCTGAGGCACGGTTGCGCAGTACAGGTTGAACGCCCTTTAACAAGGCCTTTAAAGGTTCAAACTGGGCATAAGCTGAACAAGTGATTACACCCAAACAATCAAATGTTAAAAGATCGAATATGAAAAGCAGACAAACTTTCCCCACAAAAAGTACTTACAGAATTGCCTCGAATGAGAGATTGAGGAACGGGAAGAGATTAGTAAATCTAGGGATTGTCGAAATGAACAAAGAAATTTTCTTGCATTCGCCATTTTTGCACTGCTAGAGTGATGCTGTCATCTTTGAGACCGAGAGTGCTTTCCAGCACTCAAAAAATGAAATGCGAATATACTTGCGAGAAGCATTGACGTAAAACGACGTCGTCGTTTCTTCGCAACTTCCTTTCCGCAGAATTGACATTGAAGGATATGCAAGTTTGAGCAAAAATGAAATCTGAAAAGTCAATAATACCCTTTTTTCTTAAAAGGATCCGCAATTCTTGATTAGTTTAGGTTTCGTAAGGTTGAAATATAAGTTTTTTTTGTTGTTGATACTATAGGTAACTTAAGTTACTCTAATTCACTTCTAATTTAGACTATAACTTGCACTAAAAAAA